AATAACTCTAATTTATTTTTACTGCATATAAATGTCAGAAGTTTGACTGCGCATGCTGATGATTTGGCACTGTTGATTAATGGTTTTCAATTATATGTTAATATCCCTCAAATTGTTGCTTTAAGTGAAACATGGCTAAATGATGACACTAACTATGGCCCTATACTATCGTATTTTCCATGCCACAGTCTAGTTGCGAAAAATAGGGTGGGTAAAAGGGGTGGGGGTACTGGTTTTTTAATTGATAAAAACTTAGCGTACGAAAATTTAAATTGTAATTTTTCTCTCAGTTCCGACCTGTTTGAATGGGTCGGAATTAAATTTGCCTCTGACAATAAAAAAAATATAATCATTTGTATTTATAGGCCACCAAATTATAAATTGGATAATTTCTTATCTAAAATGCAGGAATTTTTATATGAACTTTTAAAAGACGATGTCAGTAGTGATGTTTTTATACTTGGGGATTTTAACATTGATTTGGCTGTAAAAAACCAGGCATCATTATCGTTTTTAAATCTTATGGCTCAATTTAATTTGCATCCAATTATCAACCAACCGACTAGAATAACATCAAGCCATTCGTCAACGATCGATAATGTTTTTACTAATTATGGCATCGGCGGCTGCCCTAAAGGAATTCTATACAGCGATGTTTCTGACCATTTATCTATTTTTCTTTGCATACCATTGAATGCTAAGGCTGTCGGTGGCAAAAACCCTTACATTAAAACCCGTTTGATTAATTCTGAGAACCTAAAAAAAGCAAATTGTTTATTACAGAATATCCAGTGGAACGTGTCTGATTACGGGTCCGATTTTGAATCAAATTTTAAGAAATTCCTAAAGACTTATTTAAACTGCATCAATCTAGCTTTGCCATCGGTGAATAAAAAAAATCGCTTCCGAAGGCCATGGATGAATATCGATCTTTATAATCTTTCCTTGTATAAAAATGTTCTTTACAAAAGGCATCTACACAATCCATCCCCTGCAAATAAAAATGCATATAATAAGGTTAAAAATAAATTTATAAATGTCAAAAGATTCACGGAAAAAAATATTTTGAAAATAAATTAAAAAATCAACCTGGAACAAAACACAGATGGAGGATAATTAATGAAATTTTGGGGTCAAAAAATTATGCAATAAATTGTTCTCAAATGATGCCAGTGAAACTGCTAAATTGAGCACCGTTACAGGGTTGAATAAATTTTTTGTTGAGATAGGTAAAAATATCAATAAAATTTTAGGCGATGGTCAGTTGATTTCAAATGTCGGTCCATATGTGGTTTCTAATAACCCAATATTTATACCACGAGACACAACTCCGGATGAGATTGTCTCGGTCGTTGGCAATTTGAATTTGAAAAATAGTTTTGATTGTGATTTTCTTTCTACTAAGATCCTCAAACATACTGTTTTTCATGTTGCTAGTCAAATCTCAAAACTATTTAACGATTCTATTAAAATGGGCAAATTCCCTGATGATTTAAAAATGGCTAAAGTAATACCGATTTTTAAAGGTGGTGACCCGACTCTTTTTGAAAATTACCGTCCAATCTCAATACTGCCGGTTTTTTCCAAGATTTTTGAAAAGCTAATGTTCAATCGCATGTGGGATTATCTGATTGAGCATAGCGTGATCAATAGACATCAGTATGGTTTTGTCCCAAAATCTTCAACTGAGAA